GAATAATACACTCCCCCTGTCCACCTACAAAGAGCCCCCTCACCTGCATATGTTTTGCAGGTAGGAGGCGAGTAGGCACGATCCCTGGTGATCCAGCGGTGATTAGTAAGGTCCTGCAGACCTTACTAATTAATCCTTTCGGACTGCATGTAGTGAAGACGCCGGCAGAAAGGATCGGTATGCCAGTAGTGACAGGAGCAGCTCTACGGTCTGCATCCAACAGAGATGCAGACTGCGTAGCTGCTCCTGCAAGTCGGGTACACGGTCTGGGACCGCGTACCTGGCTTGTTAGCTGACCGCGGGCCGCAGAGTACCGGTTCGCCGGCCGCAATTGGCTTTGAGACCGCTGTTCTAGATGGATCTGGTTACTAAGAGTGGGATAGAACTTATGAGAATTAAATACAGAAATTCAGATTTGTTTTTAGTTTTTGACTATAGATACCCTTTAATTTTAAAAGTGAATCTCCTGCACGCTGCCTCGCTTTTTTCCCTACGAACTTATATCCACAGCCCTGTCCCTAGTAGTGCACTGACTGTTTTTACAGCTCTGGCTGTCCTCGATTTTAGCATACTTTATGTTAAGATCAGTGAGATGTATTATCACGGATGACACTACCAGGTGCCTCATGAAGAGAGGATGGCAGGGGCCTCAATAATCTATAGTTAGTACTAGTCCGGGGTTGTGGTATTGTAATGGTAACCCTGAACAACCTTCTGAGTGTGTTTTTGTATTTTGTCTACATAACCCCTTTAATGAACGATCAATTCCCCCTCCACAGATAAATATCCCACCAAAGATAAATACTGAACTGCTGACCGCGGTGTTTGCCGTTACTGTTTGTTAACACATTCCATCCGGTTGACTCTCAAAGGTAAGCACAGTGTGTACACAGTAAAGCATTCCAATGTCTCCTCTCAGCAGAGGGGTCAGGGAACCTCTTTGTTTTCGCCTTATTTCATAGGGTAGCATGCATTCCTTATGGAGCTAATATTTCCACAGCAAAGAGGTTCAGTTTAACTGCAGGAAGAAGTCAGTCTGTGCAAACTTACAGCCATGGGTTTTTCAAGTAAAATATGATATCCTTTTTTGGCAAATGCAATCGCTGGTTCCTATTTAAAAAAAAAAAAAAGATAAAATCAGGGTACGGTTTTATCATGAGGAGTGTATGATGAAGTCACTCAATATAACCAAATTAACAATGGTCTTCATTAAGGCCTGGCCTACATTAGTGTCCATTCTCTACAGTACTGCTCGCCACTACACTTTGCCTGGCACTCATTATAAAAGAAATGACTGAGATGAAGGACTCAATACACACATTCATACAGTATATGGCATTGTTACACTAATCTAATTGCTGGCTTCAGCATCAATCTTTTTTTGATCTAGCAACACTCATTAGTTCCTCTGGGCAAGCATGTGCTGACACCAGGCCCTTATTTACTTAAAGTGACACTACACTCAAAAGTTAAATCTTAAAAATACATTCAAATACCTTAACTATCAACAAAAATGTATCTTATTTGTGTATAACTCGGCTGTAGATCCTCAAATCATTTCTGAATTGGTGCTTACACTGTCCTTCCTTCTGGAGGGTGGCTACTTGTGTTCCCCAAGGTCCCTGTGTGTGTTGTAAAGTATTCACCGCTCCAAGCTCGCTCCCACGAAGGACTACAATCTCAGTACAAATTAGTAAACTAAACGTGAGGTTATGGTCCATCACAGGAGTGAGCTTGGAGCGGTGACTACTTTACAACACACACAGGGACCATGGGGAACAAAAGTAGTCACCCTCCAGAAGGAAGGACAGTGCCAGCACCGATTCAGAGATGATTTGAGGATCTACAGCTGAGTGATGCAGAAATAAGATGCATTTTTGTTAATATTTAAGGGACTTGAATGCATTTTTAAGACAAGTCCCCAGATCAGCAGACCAAACACTCTTACTAGAGTAACATCACTCCCCCGGATCTCCTAGGCATCCATGGAGTCATCTTGCACCCAAGGTTTCTTATGCAGTTCTTATGCTTTGTGAAAGTTTCCCCTTTTAGGGTTAAATCATTTCTAAGGAAAATGTACAGCGAGCCCTATATCCTGCATTTATGGTGTGGGCTGCAGGTGCAGAATTTTGCTTGAGCAATGTACTTTGTATGCCATCTGGTTGGCATTCCACAAAGAAAGATGTATTGAGGTCATGCAGGGGGCTGCTGATGATAAAAGAGAATATGATTCTGAAACAGATGCTTATGGCGCTACCACTGAGAGCCATGGCAAAGCAAAAAAGAGAGCTTTGGGCACCTATAAATTACATTGCTTTTCATTTTTTGGTTCAAGGAATTAAAATCTTAGCAATATGTAAATAATCATAAATGGATGGAAACTATTTGCATACTCCCATCATACATGCTAGATTAGTGCAAAGTAAGAGAAAAATGTTTACAGTTACTGTCTGCGGTCTGTCTGTCTGTACTGTCTGCCCATACATTAGCAGTTGTAGGATTAATTATGATACGATTGTATGTCCGTATGCACCCTAACCTTGCCAGTTGTACCCTGGCTGAGCCTGCTCGGAATTGTATTTGCTGTGCTGAAAACTTATTTTTTTCCCTCTTTTCCTAATTTTGATTGGCCTTAGATGGTCAGTTTACTACTTCAGTGCTTTCATTGTTATTTGCATTTATTAAACAGGGTCTGAATTCTACAAAATATTGTGCCATATATATGACTGGCCCACTGCAGTACTTTTACACAATTTTAGAGCTTTCCAACAGGTTTTAGACACAGCAATCTGCCACCCACTGTTCAATTTGTTTTCCCGGTCCCAACAAGCAAAAGCAACAGTTGAAACTGAAGAGGAACTAATTTAAAACCACTACCAAATGGTATTTAGGATCAGTTTCTACACCAATTTGTATTATCTGCTCACTAAAGACTAGAAAATGATTGGAAACACACGTGTAAGATTTGTGTGGTTGAAAGTTAATGGAAAGCTCCAAAACCGCCAGCAAAGTTGCCAAGTGTATTGGTTGCTTTTGGGTTTTGAGTACAGTTTAGCCCTTTTTAATAAATGCGACTCTTTGTATAGTCAGCAGAAAGATTTCTACATGTCATAGAATCCTTGCCCAATCCAGCTGTTGATCGTTGGAGGTGAAACAGTTGTATGTCTGCAGGCTTCCCTCAATGCTTCTTGCTCTAGTCTGCTCACGAAAACAATCAAATGGCTTTGATAGATTTTCCAGGAGGATTGCTCTTGTTTTACAGTACACCTGCAGGACTCCCCAACCCCCTCTACGGACGTAATAGTTTGGAGGCAGTATTGTGCATGCATGGTCAACCTTGATTTAAATTCTGTTGCATTTTCCAATACTTCGTTTCAAGTTCTCGTCATGTTTGCACCTCATAAAACTAGTGCAATTTAAAGTTTTATTGGTAATTCACCTTGTGCAGTCTATCCGGAGTTGTAATGATCACTGCATCTGCAAATTTTTCTCTTTCTGCAGCTTCTTTCCAGTCTGAAATAGAAAAAAAAAAGTTAGTATTGTAGCTCACCAAGTGTATCAGCATTTTAGAGAAACTATTGCTCTGCCTATTCAGGGAAAAGTGATAGTGCCACGTGATAGCTCATCCCCCAAAGAGTATACTCATCTGTCCGCACCCCACCCCATCAGCTTCCAAGTATGAGGGAGCATGTAAACTACACCATCTGACAGTGCTCAGGCCAAGCTGACCAATCGCCAGACCTAAACATTGTCACATGGTAAGGGAGGTCAGTGACAAGGAAGTTCTGATATGATGCAACACTGGAGCTTACCCAAGGCGGAATTCTATAATGAGGATGCTTTCAGGCAAGTACACCAACCATAGCTATTACAAGGAGATCCTATTCTCCCTACCCAATACAATGAAATGAGGAAGAGCAGTACAAATGACTATTATGAGATGCTCCCCACTTGAAATCTCACCAATGGGGACACAAACAAAAACAAAAATACATTTCTGGTAAAGTGGCAAAGGGATATAACTTCTGAAAATGTTTTTACTTCCAAATGTGCCTTCCTGTCTGGATGACAATCACTCCCAGTATGCCACAGGGATAGAACATGAAGGAAAATCTCCCCAATGGGGTCACAGACAAATAAAACATTTGCAGAAGTGTAATCTATTCCCTTCTCTATAAAAACCTTGCAGAAATTAGGCTTTAAAGGAGAACTATGGGGTCAGGGCTTTTCCCCATAGTTCTCCTAAGGGTAACGGGAGGACACAAACTAGCGTCCTCCCATCACCCTAAGCTCAGTATACCGCGAGCTACAGCTCGCGGTATACTGAGACGCCGCAGCTGAAACGGATCCCGACAATTATGTCTGGATCTGCCCAGCTGTGTGAGTGACAGCTGGCTCTGCCTATCTAGAGGCAGAGCCAGCTGTACCCGCCCCCTCCCCCAGTCAGCGTTGGAGGATCGGAGGGGGGAATCCAGTCCCTCCCCTGTCACGGCTCAGTGACGTGGCAAGATCGAGAAGTGAGCGAACGCCGGTATATGTTCGCTCACCTCCCGATCTACTGACCTGACCTGTGACAGTCTCATTGTCACAGGTCGGCTAGAACTATGAGGATAAGTAAAAAGCACTCGCCTCATAGTTCTCCTTTAAAATAAGAAAACCTTTTTATATTTCAATAAGAGGAAAAAACACTTACCTTCAAAAAAATTGTCATCATCAATCTCATGATACTTTTTAACTTGATCTCTCACGCAGGAACGAGGATCAGCCACACCAACAACCTGAAAGAGAAGGGGGAAAAAAACAAAACACATTTTGTGTCAGCCCATAAATTCTAAATTGCTTTTATTAACATGGTCTTGGATTCAGACCTACTATATATGCCAAGCTCCACAAATAACAGGATCCAGGCAGACAAAGTATAGAAAGATGGAAGTCGTTTCCACTGTCTCCATTGGAGACCCAACTTCCTTGTCTCTTTAAAGTACATCTGTCACCTGGATCACAGACGTAGTGAAATGAGAACTATGAGGTGAGCGATTTCCACTCACCCTCATAGTTAATGCAGACCTGTAACAAAGAAGCTGTCACAGGTCGGCTCTATCGATCGGGAAGTGAGCAGAAACATGCAGCCGATCCGCTCACTTCGCGATCATCTCCCTGCAGTGAGCAATTACTGTCAGTCACCACTCCCCGCAGGGATTCCTCCCTCTCCTGTCCGATCCTCCAGCGCTGATGGAGGAACGAACGGGGAGGGGAAAGGCACAGCTGGCTCTGCCTCTAGATAGGCAGAGCCAGCTGTCACTCATGCAGCTGGGTGGATCACGACAGTATTGTTGGGATCCGTCCCCGCTGCGGCACTCTCAATACATCGCGGGCAATAGCTAGCAATATACTGAGCTTTGGGTCACGGGAGGAGGTTAGTATATGTCCTCCCGTGACCCTAAAGAGAACTATGGGGAAAAAACACTTACCCCATAGTTCTCTTTTAAAGTAGATCTAAAACCAATCACTAATATTCCACATAACCTTTATCATGTTAATGTCATTTCAGAAGTTGTTTTCGTTCTTTTTAAACCTGTAGTTCTCCAGTGCAGTGACCCTAACAAAGGGTAAAAGTGAGAGGACCACAAATAGATAATATGTCAGGTCAAAAAAGCAACAGCCAACACATTTCGAGGGATCTCAGTTCCCCCTTCCTTAGGGCAAGTATACAGTATGTCAGGAGGTGTTCCTCTTTGTATCAGGTGGTAACCAAGAAAGCTCTATTTCAAAAGCATTGCTTTTCCCACTATCTCCAGAAGGTTCATTGGATTTTCTAATAGTTTAAGGGGACAAATCAACAATTGATTTTGACCGTAGTGATGAAAAAATCAAAAGCAGCAGGAAGGAAAGTTTTTCTCGAGTGAATGAAACAGCAAATGCGGTTTTCAGTCAATAAACTCCATTCATTCTAAAACTGAATGTTTCCTGAATCCTGGTATATAGCTTCCTTTAAAATGGAGATCTCAAATGTCAAGGGTGAGTGACAGTGCTGTTATGCGGGCCATGCACTGTACGAATTTCAGACGGTTCTTGATAAACAGGCCAAAATTCGTTCAGCGGGTGGCCCTGTTGATACCCTTGCGCCCAGCATTCTTCAATCAGAAAATCGAAGGAGCCAGGTGGAAAATCTTCGGGTGAACAGTGATGAGAGCCAATTGGACACTGAAAGCATAACAGCATCCAGACCCCATTTTACACAGCTGACCTTCCACCTGCAAAAGCTTTCCTATCGGGGTGTCCAACATGGAAAGTATCAATAGTTTAGCACAATACAAATGCATGTCCGAAGATCATAGAAGTGTGAGCTCTTCGTGACCTTGCAGCTGGGGGGTGCGTGGTTGGAGTCATCATATTGCACCAAAAGCTTATACGAATATTCCCTCAAGCAGCTATACAGTACAATACTAAACCAAGATCTGGTTTTACACAAATGCAGCTGCCACAATAATGGCTTTAAAATATGTTTTTTTTTTAACAGGAGTTTCTCCTTAAAGATTTCTGTAACATGAAAGTAACATTTTTTTTCTCCTCCTTGTCAGTTAAACCACTGGAACTTTTACTTCTCTTTTTTTAATCTCACACATGCCTATATTTCATAAGTAAAGACACAGAGGTCACAGCCAATAGTACCTCAGGTTCTCTAAGATTGTATAGGTCATAAAACTCTGACCCTACCTCCTTTTTTTTTCTTCAACCAATGCATGCTGCTCATAAGTCCCAAGTTTCAATTTAAAAACATTTTGTCTGCATAGAGGTCCCAATATCCAAGCTGTGTTCAGTGAATGAAAAAGAAGTTGCATGGGATAGTGCAAAACATTTACACGCTTTAACGAAATGGGAGTATTTCAGAAAAATGTATTTCACTGTGAAATTACTTTGAATTTTACTTATTAAGCTGCTTAGGTGACATGTGCATGAAAACAAATCTGCTCTTTTCCCCTTTGTTTAGAGTTTTTTTTTTTATTTGGGGTAATTTATTTATTTTGTTGTCTTTGTACTTTCACTTTTTTTTAATTTTTACATTTTTCACAGTTTCTACATTTCTGTGAAAAAGGGACAGTGGGTGGGTGGGATGGTGGGCGGTGAATGGGCGGGGCTATAGTGGTGTGTCCAAATTGTGCTTTTAAAAAGGTGGGAGGGGCTTAGGTTATAGGTCTACAGAATGGTGGATAGGTGGTAGTCAGGTGCACACACCTTCCCAGAGACACTCTCACCTATACGCCATTCCATTGACACTTACAGTGCCTGTAGTTGGTAGGTTCAGTGTCACTGGAAGGTGTGCGCACCTGGCTTTCACTTATCCACCATTCCAGTAACACTGACAATGCACCTGGCTTCCACCTACAGGCACTGTCAGTGGAATGGTGGGTAGGTGGGAGCTAGGTGCACTGTGTGTACAACATTTCAATGACACTGACAGTGCACCTGGCTTAAAACTCAAGGCACTGTCAGTAGGTAGGTAGGATCCAGGTGCACTGTGCATACAACATTTCAGTGACACTGACAGTGCACCTGCAAATAAGGTATAAGTATGTTGTGAAGCCTCTAAAGAGGAACTTTACGCTTACCTTTAAAATGACCACAAAGACACTTTTAGAAATGTCAATCTACCAACTTGATACTTCCAGATAGTTGCCGGCTTTTTATTCATCACATACCGTATATACTCGAGTATAAGCCAAGATTTTCAGCCCATTTTTTTGGGTGAAAAGTGCCCCCCTCGGCTTATACTCGAGTCAGCGCCAGGTGTCATCTTACTTACCTCGCCGAGCGTCGCGTCACTGCTGCTCCGGTGTGCGGCGCTCCGTGCGGGGTCATCTGGCAGTCTCCGGGTCCTAATTTAGGTGGCCGGAGACTGCCAGATGACCCCGCTCGGAGCGCCGCACACCGAGGCAGCAGTGACGCGACGCTCGGCGAGGTAAGTAAGAAGAAGAAAAACCCCCCCGCAGCGGCCAGTCAGGCAGGGGAGCAGGGATGAGTCAGCGGCGCGCTGATCAGGCGAGAGGAGCTCCAGGTGGGGTTGTAATTATCGGGCAGGCACCTCTGAGCCAGCTAAATTAGGACCCCACCTGGAGCTCCTCTCGTCTGATCAGCGCGCCGCTGACTCGTCCCTGCTCTCTCCGTGATGATCCGATCACCGGCACACAGTGAGTGAGGGGAGGGGAGGGAGGGGAGGGAGGGAGGTAGAGAGAGAGATTAATTAAGCAATTATATATGTATTGTCTGCACTGTATTAGCAGTATATACTCTATATAGAGTATATACTGCTAATACAGTGCAGACAATACATTTACAATTATACTAACATGAATGTATTAAATGATCTGTATGTAGCCCTGTACTATGGATCATTTAACCCATTCATGTTAGCAGAGGATCATTGTAAATGTATTGTTGCAGGCACTCTATATGTACATGTACTATATACTACATATAGAATGCACTGAACAATAGATTTACAATTATCCTCTGCTAATATGAATGGGTTAAATGATCCGTAGTACATGATATGTAGCCCTGTACCCCCTTTTCCACTTACAGAGCTAGGTTATTTTTCTTTTAAATAAATATTAATGTAATTTTATTGGTATCTATCTACCAGTAGCTGCCTCATTTCCCACCCTCGGCTTATATTCGGGTCAATACTTTTTCCCAGTTTTTTTTTTGTAAAATTAGGTACCTCGGCTTATATTCGGGACGGCTTATACTCGAGTATATACGGTAACTGTTTCCTTTTCTCCCCCATTCTTCTCACAGTGACCATTTTTACTAAGGGCAGATTAATCCATCTCCCTTTACTTCCTGGAACTCTGGCACATGTGACTAGGACACACATACACATCATCTCAGGGGTTCACGGATATGATTTTCCAGCAATGCACTGCTGATGCAACCTTCCCAGGATGCATCTCATAGGGATGGGCTACATCACTAATCCCTAAGAGGATCAGGTAAAGTGTAAAAACATTAATTGGAAGTAAAAGAAAAATAAGTTTACCTAATGAATGTAAGATGATTTCATATGGGCAGGCAGAGCTGCACCCTGATGTGATTTTTAGTGAAATGGGTTTAAAGGTCCACTTTAACAAACAATAGAAGGGCAGGAGAAGGGAAGGAAAGGCGGTTCTCAAAATTGACTGCAAAATTAGAATTACACCAATTCACCAAAAACCATGGTGAAATTTCACCAACATCTCCTAATGTTTGCTGATATTTCAGGGGAAATTAAAACTCTTACATTTCCCCATTCCTAATGAGAAATAATGAACCTCTATCTCCTGGTATCAAAGTGTTCAACCATGCTTAGATAGGTCATAATTAAAAAACAGCACAGTATATGTCCAGGATCATTTATATAAATTACATTTAGATCTGTCAGTGATAGCATCCACCTTGGCTTCACATGCTTGGAGATCTTCTCTAAGCCAGCATTTACCCAGCTTTAAAAGTATGGTATGTAAAGTCTCGAGGTACCCCAGTCTAAAATGTCATAAACACTCAAAAAAGTGGTTTTCCCTCTACACATCCAAGTGCCCTCTTTAAATAAAGATTCCCCCGCTTCACATCAGTCACCCTTTGCATTAGTACCCACCCTTCAAATAAGGAGAGCCCCTTTTACATCAGGAGCCCCATTTCACATCAGGGCCCCCCTCTTCATATGGGATGTCTCCCCTCTTCACATCAGAGTCCCCTCTTTCACATCAAAAGTCCCCCTTCACATCTGAGTTCCCCTTTT